TGTTCTTCACTTTTCGGGACGATTGCACAGAAACGGCATCCTTTGCCGTAAAGCTGTTCCGCAGATTTGCCTCATTTTGTTTGTCCATTAAATTCAGTTTTATAATCGTGTCGTATGTCTTCCGCCGTCCCCTATGCGGCAAATCACACGCTTTGTCCAAATGTATGTTAAGCCTAAACCGTATAAAATTATGTAATCATAAATGTCTCGCTATTTACATGTCATAAAAATTTATTTCCTATAATAAATGTTAACGATTTTGATATCAGATAATTGTATTTACAAATTCAATGCTCAAACTTCTTGACGCAATTTCTTAACACCAAATTATATTTAATATATAATAAAAATGTATATAAAAAACCTCTTTTTCTTTTGATCATAGTTTGTAGAGAAGGATAGCGTCCCGAAAGTGAGTGTTTCGTCAACCGATGAATTGTCACTCTTATCGGTCATACACTTTGGTTGACAACTCATTTCTCCCTCTTCTGTGATCGAACTTCTTTCACATACGGCTAATAAGTGTTTCCAATTATAATATGTTTTAAGACATTTGTCATTAGATTAGCCGTAAAACAAATTTGTATTATTTGTTACCATTATTGAGGACTTCCTTATAGAGTGATAGCTTAATACTAGACACAGAGTTAGTCCGCTCTAAGAAGTAGTCAGTACTCGAGAATTTGATGATTCTTTGGGGCCATTCGTGACTCCTTCCGACCATTGCTCGCGATATATCTGAATGTCTTCTTTGTGTGAATTGTGGTAAACCGATGGGACCGTCATCTTCAGCGATAGTCGACGCAGACGTCAGCGAATCTCTCTTCAAATTCTTGAAACTTGGAGAAAGCGATTGAACTAAAGGTTCGTTATTTGAGTAAATTCTTGAATAATTAGTAATTAATATATATTAAGCAATTTAACCTAAAATAAGATCTTTTAATATAAATGAATTTAATATTGAAGTCTCAAAAACATTAAAAATCAAATTCTAATATAAATTCAGAGATTTGAAAAAAGCTTTGATAAAGACCTGATTGGGTTGAGAAGCTTCTCTGTGGGACCCAAAAGCGTAAGATCTCGTGGTCGTCGTCATCCTCTTTGGGTTGGTTTTGAGGAGTCCTTCTGTGCAGACAATCCCAAAGTCTGCAATTCTGTAGACCTGTATACAGATTATTGAGATAATAATTCGGACACATATTTGAAT